TTCAATGGGAAAAAAAATGTAATTTATTTTCTCAAGTAAAATGACTTCATACATATGGAGGCAAGTAAAATGACTTCATACATATGGAGGAATCAGTGGAATTAAGTGAGAAAGGACACTCATTCAAAACTGATTCAAAATTATTTAATTTAATATTTTTGAATTTTGCATGATCTACAAATATATCGCGATGGAGTATATAGCCTTCTATAATCGTCAAAGTCATCTTTGTAAAACGCCTCAATGAATCCAAATTTCAAGCACTGACCAATGATAAATTTTTCTACATTTGCTAAATGCTCAGTGGTCTTAGTCGGTTCGAAACGGGTTGCAAATCCCGTTATAACACAATCCAGAGATGCATAGAAAAGCTGGTGGTAGTGGTCCTCTGGAGTCGTAACAAAGTATGGAATTCCACTTCCAGTAAATTTTGATGTAATTTTACATTTCCGTGGCATCTCTGGTTTGTCGAGTAAACTTAATTCTGCTATACAACGGCTGCATTCTATAACACTTTGAAGCGAGTATCTTTTAACAACTCCTTAAGCGTGTTGATGGTATTTCTTGCTTTGCAAAAATTAGGCTGCATGCCTAAAATGATTTTCAATAAACGTTTAACATTATAATTTGCTTAAAATAATATATTTAAAAAAAAAAAAACACTATTAAATAAAAAATATTTACCTTGGAGTGCTGCATCTTCGATTATCGTGAAGATCATGCGCAAAATTTCCAATTTAAAAAATGTGTCAAATTTACAAAAAGATTCCAGATAACCCGCTGCTTCTGACTTAATTTTGGCTGAATTATCAAAATGATTTTCAAAGTCCTCTAACCAGTTGATGATGGCGGAAAAGTTACTCGTAAAAAATATAATGGACGGTTTTCTATGGATCCATTGAGTGGGGCAAAGTGGCAGCAGTGATGTTCCGCTTTCTACATCCTCTACATTTTAAAATTTATTGAAATATGCCAGTCGTTTGGGAGATCCACGGGCAAATAAGATGAATGATTGCACTAAATTCATAATATTCCTGATCTCTGTTTGATTTTCATCAGAATCTTGTGGTACAAAGTTGAGATTATGAGCGCGGCAGTGCACGTAAATTGCGCGTTTTTCTTTCCCCCTCATTAAAGTCTGCAATCCTAGATACTTCCAGACATGTTAGACAATCTATCAAAACATTGGCCCCGAAAATTTTGAATCAACAGGCTAAATTGACATAAAACGTCCATCAAACAGTTTAACAAAGTTTCGCTCTTGATGTTCTCGGTTTGGTAAAGTCCCATAAAAAGCTTCTCAATTTTAAATTTTTCATTAACACAACAAATGCAGATCGAAACTTGTTCTTTTGCGGACATATCCGTTGTTTCATCGGCCATCAAACTATAGAAGTGTGATTTCCTTATACTTTCGCATAGCTTACGAAGCGTTGCACGAGCAAAGTCTTGTAGGATTTCGTTTTCAATTTTAGGCGAGAGCCACTTTTGCTTTTCAAGACGATTCAACCATTTCTTCAGTTCCAGAGAATCGTCTGCTCGTAGTTTGAATAGCATGCGAAAGTTTGAATTATTTTCAACCTTTCCACAAATGGCAAGCCCTTGCGTTTCCTAATACATTAAAAAGAAACATTTAGTTATCCGGTAAATACATTAAGAAGAAACATTTAGTTATCCAGTAAATAAATTGAACAATTGATAGTTAATCTAAATTTTTCTGAAACAAATTAAAAAAAAAAACGAAAAAAAAGAAGAGTTACCAAATAAAGAAGTGTTGTAAATATTTTTGATAAAGCCGTACGATTACGATTCTTTCTTTTGGTGATGAATAAGCTGCTGGATAACGGTTGATTTCAGTATTGCTGAGGCGATCATACTAACGGACGCCCTATGAAGTTCAGACCGCTCGTGAGAACCAAAAATTTGTAACGCTTTTTATCCAATTAGAAAATTCGTTTAAAATAAAAGCTTCGTACGAATCTTTTTCTGTTGAACTACGAGGTAAAGGCATTTTCATTAGGGTAGCTTTGATGCAGGTAGAACAAAAAACTTTTTCTTTCTCGCGGTCATGTAAAACCCATTTATATTTTTCATTCCAGCTTTGTTTAAATTTTCTTTCCTTTTTTGATGAAAAAGATGACTATCTTGAACAACAAGGTCCAGGCTCCTCTGTAAAAGACGTCAACTCAACAACAGCGGTTGAATCAGTTGCATCATCTGACTAAACAAATGATAAACTTTCATGAGTATTATCTTGGAAGTTATTACCATTTTGAGGTTCAGAAAATAATGCAACTGTTCCGAATTGATTTTCTTTTCTTAAAAAGTATTGACTAATATTCTTCATTGTACAAGTTCTACAACTTCTTGCTTAAAAGTCAATGTACTGTTGAACAATTAAAAAATTTCTTCAAAAACTAACGTTTTTTAATTCAAATGTTTTTTAATTCCAAACTTATTAATAGTTAATACAAATAAAACTGCCATAGCAACGCCCTAAGTTATCAAAGAAAAAAATACTAAACGAACGTTTTACTTACACAACTCTTTATTTAATGTAGTTCCGTTAATTTGCTTTTTAATATGTTTTTACCGATCTCAAACTCGCTTGGGACTCATCAGAAGCGTGGAATTTCTGAAATTCGAAAAATAACTTATACTTTTGAAAGCCTTACTTTTGAAAATCACTATTTGTATTTGTGGAAATATTACAATCATTTTGAAATTGTTATATTTGTAAATTTTCAAGTATATTATGGCTTTTATTTTTTAAATCTTTTTGAAAGCTTGGCAAATTTTCCCGGGTGGGCCAAAGCCCCAGCAACAAATTTCCGGATGGGGCAAAAGCCCCCGAGCCCTAGCGCGTTCTATGCCTATGGTTAATATCATAATATTTAGCATTATTAGCTAAATTTTAAATATTTGTCTTCAAAATAATATATTGTATTTATGCTTGATAACATTTTTAACGACATGTTTTTAATGACTATATTATTTTTGGATTTTTTGTGGGTTGGTAATTACACTTCTTCTTGCTCTTGATATTTAAAAAAAAGTTGTATAAAAGTTTATTTACATTGATCATTTTTTTAAAAATTTTCAGTGACTTTATAAACTTAAACACATAAACTGAAATGCAGCACAAGTATTTTATTATAACCACTCAACACAAATTAAAAAAGGTTTCAATGCCTATATTAACAACCTCATAAAGACACTTATCTGTATTTGACTAATAGTTTTCTTTAATGATAAATTATATATATTTATTTGGCTGAGGTATAAGTTCTCTGCATTACACCGTTTCTTTTTCTATTGTATATGCTCCACATTTGGGGCATTTCTCACCACAGCCCAGAAGTAGTCAGTTGAAATCACAGGACTCCAATATCCTTGATACCTTTTTTCCAATGTTGCTATATCTTTAATAAAACCATTGCCACTAATTCTTTTGTCATATCTTTGGTGATTTCATCACTAATTGCACTAGTGATTTCATTTGTTCCAATGTTGCTATATCTTTTTCCAATGTTGCTATATCTTTAATAAAACCATTACCACTAATTCTTTTGTCATATCTTTGGTGATTTCATCACTAATTGCATCTAGTGATTTCATCACTAATTGCATCAAAGATATGAAGAAAGAAGTCCAAATGAAAGTGCAGAAAGCAAATCTTACATGTTGCAGTCTAATTTCTGATAGGCTAAGAGAATTTTTGTCACAAATTCTATAGAGCAATATGCGCTTTTGTTTCCTAAAATATTCTCAACCACTAGTTTGAAAGATCTCCAGACAATCTTCTAAATCTCAGAGGGTCTGATACAAATATTGGTGTAAACCGAGGCTGAAGTTGTGGAACATAATATTAAATAATGAACTGAAAACTAATTGTTCTCTAAACCAATTCAAAACAAAACTTAAGCAATTACTTTTGTTAACTCAAAATTAATCAAATTTCTTCTAATAAAGCTACTTTAAAATAGAAATCAATAATTAACAGTTAATTAATTACTGCAGATTATTAGTACATAATTAATCAACATATGTACATATATTTTTATTATTTTAAATGATAATCTTCTTTTTGAGAAATTTATTTATATTTTTGCGTTATTTATTAATTTTATTTACTTTTACTTTTATTTTTTATTTTTACTTAATTGGTAGTTATAAATTTAATTAAATAAGTTAAACTATAAATTGCTCTAAGAATAAAATGTGTTTTATATAAAATCAAATCTTCTTATTTATCAACCAATTGTTAAATGTTATTTTTGTCATTTTAATATTTTATTAAATTTTGTTTCTTTTATTTTACAAAACAATTCTTAAATCTTATTCTTTGAAAAACTATAAACTTTAAACGCTATACGATATATTTACATTTTCTTTTATAATATTAAATCAGAGATATACATATTGAAACTATGTTTTATTATAAAACTATATTTTATGTAATGATCTAATGATGCATTTTTTGGGGCTTAATGATAAGACTAAATTTGTCTTCTTCTAGGCCCGGTCGTATAATTATTTTTTATAAGTTACATTTGTAAATTTTTTTTTATCGGCAAAAGTGTAAAATAAATTAAAAAAATAAATAAACTGTAATCTAGAGACTTTAGGGAAGGGCTTACTTTTCTTTTAAAATGCTCCTTTTATTAATGCAGTTTTTGGAATCTAGAAACGCAAGTATTGAAAACATATATTTGGTCGCCGGATCTTAATCTCCAATTTTGCATCCAAAATTTGATAAACCACTGGAGTAAGAGAAAATTTCTTGGTGGAAAATGTAACTTCACCACACACATTACAAAACTTATCTTATTTATTATAAAACTTAACTTATGTGCTGTTTAAAGACTTTTGAAGCATTTCAATATAACGAACTCTAACTGATACGAAAAACTCTTATTTACACACTTTCACGGCATTTTTTTATGTCATAACTTGCAATTCACAAATCAATTAATTAAATTAAAAAAAAAAAAAAATTGTTAATAAAAAGTGAAATGTATTATTACATTTAAATTTATTTTTCTGGAACTTTCAAAACGTTAAATTTATATCTATTACTAGTGTGTGCGTCCAGCGTTACTTGAATTCGAATTTGAATTTGAATTTCCGTGAGAACTAGATGATGTTGATGCACCCTTTTTTGCATCACTAGAAAAAACATCGTCTTCCTCTGTTAAACTTTGTGCAGACAATGGAGATTCATCATAAAGTTTTTGTAAATTGTGATTTGGACTAAAGAAATAAAAAATGAAAAGAATTCCTGTTATATAGTTAAAGGCTTTACGTCACTATAGTTTGTAACACAAAAAATATTTTTAAACTGTTAATGTTACAAGACGGGGGAAATTTCTATTTTAAGTGAACTTTTTATACTATTCTTTATTATCAGAAAAAGTTATTGCATTTCTATTAATAAGCACATTAAAGTGAGTAATATTTAATTATATTCTCGCTGGCTCCTGTTAAGATTTAGGAAAAATATTACTTCAAGACATTAGGTTCAGAAGTACAGCGCTTTAACTACTACATTTTTGGTGCACTTTAGAAAAAAAAACACTATTAGAAAAAAAAATAGAAATGAAAAATAAAATTATTATATTTTTGAAATAAACAATTACTTTGTTTCATCTGCAACGTTATGAATAAAAGGCTGAGGCTCATCATTAGAAAAGTCATTACTTTTCATCCAAGCTCTTGGATTAGATTGACGCATGGTTTCATCACGCGGAGAAACATTATCTTGCTCCATCCAAGCTCGTGGATTAGATTGACGTATGGTTTCATCACGTGAAAAAACGTTATCTTGCTCCATCCAAGCTCTAGGGTTAGATTGATGCATGGTTTCATCATTTGAAAAAACATCATCTTGTTCCATCCAAGCTCGTGGATTAGATTGACGTATGATTTCATCACGTGAAAAAACGTTATCTTGCTCCATCCAAGCTCTAGGGTTAGATTGATGCATGGTTTCATCATTTGAAAAAACATTATCTTGCTCCATCCAAGCTCTAGGATTAGATTGACGCACGGTTTCATCATTTAAAAAAATATCATCCTGTTCCAGAGCTGTGCATCCTGTACAAGAAGCTCTTGGGTTTAAATTACGCACATGTTGATCATTCAAATATTCATCATCTCGCATCCAAGTACCTGGTTGAAATTTTTGTGCGGGAATATCATTTGGAAAAACATTGTCTATATTCTCTTGTGGCACGGGTTCAGGCAATGGTTCATCTTCATAACGTGATTTTGAATCTTGGTTTAGTCTAGAGAAATGTTTCAAAATGTTTAAAGTTGTTTGATTGAATTGTTTAAACCAATGATTATTAAAAAAAAAAAAAATTCTTTTAGTACTACCTTCATATAAATAAAAGTGCCGAATATTAAAGAAATTTTAATATATTTATTCTTCATAAATATACACATTATATAGGCTCATTTTTTCACAACTCATAAGATGCCACCACAATTGTAATGTTTAATGGTGCCCCACCCTCCACTAATCAATTATTTTTCTTTTTGCACAAACATTTGAATATTTCTTTTGTATAAAGAAGAAACAAAAAAAAGGATATTTTTCAAAAAGTATATGTAATCATTTCATGAGTGTTTTATTTAAAAACTTATTAAAATAATCAATCTGCTTCTTCTTATTTTTAAAATAAATAAAGAGAAGAGTGCCAACAATTACAATATTTATATTTTCAAATAATCAAGTAATTACCTTTCAGGCCAGAGGTATGCAGGATAGTAGCGAGCGTCGTTCTGAAATTAAAAATAAGTTAACATCAAAAGTATTTTTATAAGTTGAAACAAGAAACATAAATTTAATGTTTTATATTTAGCTTTGAATTTTTTTCAAATTAAAATCCTTTGAAAATATAGGCAATTTTTTAAATCAAAAAAAAATTATCAAAACTTACGAAAACAACGAGATTTAGTAAACCAATAAAAAAAAGACTTTTCATTTTGCTCTGTTCACGTAGAATTCCGTCTTAGATATGCTTTAAAAAAGATTTTTTTCAAACTTAAGAGAAATCTTTTATTGGATTTAAAACCTATTGAAAAATAAGTATTTAACAATTAATTCTTTTTAATTACTGTATTTAAAATATAAGTAAAGCCTTTTTGATGTTCTATTTTCTACAAAGGGAATTGTTTTAACGTTGCTATTGCAATAGGGGTGTGGATAATAAGCATATAATAGCATGCTATTTCATATTTATCGTTGCTAGCAATGAATTTATTTTTTTTATCTGCTTTATCTTAATGATAATTGTGTGTGCTTAAGAAAATTTTAACGTTAATAACAACACTGTTGTTACCGAACTAAAATTCAAGTATCGACATAAAGATAAATGTCAAAAAATGTTCATCAATGATGAACATTTTTTGACAGATTTTAAGTTTCGTTTTAAAAGTATTGTAATACCAAAAGTTATGACCATGGAAAATTTACAACCCCTGTAAATAGGGGGGGAGGGGTGTGATTTGGAAAATCTGTACGGCCATAACTTTTGTAATTGACAATATTTTACTAATATTTTAAAATCTGTCAATGAAATTAAATTTAGTTTAAAACAGTAAAGTTGAGAATTTTACTACATCAGTGCCCCACGTTATATAAGTGCCCTCATTTTTTCCAGGACTCTACCATCTCGATTTTTTGCAAGACCTTCTCATTTGACATAGGTATAAACATACTTAAGTTGGAGTTTGCACAATGCGTGAAAGTGTCATATCTGAAGTATCAAAAATCCTGCGGCGCCAATGTGGCTAAGATATGAACCTTAAGTGACCGAATTTAAGTCGCGATTTTACGGTACTTGGTTGCAATATATTTAATTAGTCATTTTAATAATTTGGACTAAATAAGATTAACGGAACAAAATAAAGGCTCCGACCTCTACTTCCTCCGGTCATATTTTTTATGTTTATAATTTTGTAAAAATTATATTTACATTTATTATTTTATTAAAAAACAAAACAAACATCAACAATATAAAATATATACATTTTTTAATTTGTAATTAACACTCTGTATAAAAAGAAACAATACTCATTTAGAAATAACTTTGAGTTCCTTGTTTTTATACTTATAACTTTAGGAATTCATTTTAATTAAACTCTTCTAATCTCCTTTTAAAGTATCCATAGAAACAAAAATATCAATATATTTTTAGTATAACAAATATATATATATATATATATATATATATATATATATATATATATATATATATATATATATATATATATATGTATATATATATATATATATATATATATATATATATATATATATATATATATATATATATATATATATATATATATATATATATATATATTTGTTATACTAAAAATATATTGATATTTTTGTTTCTATGGATACTTTAAAAGGAGATTAGAAGAGTTTAATTAAAATGAATTCCTAAAGTTATAAGTATAATAACAAGGAACTCAAAGTTATTTCTAAATGAGTATTGTTTCTTTTTATACAGAGTGTTAATTACAAATTAAAAAATATATATATTTTATATTGTTGATGTTTGTTTTGTATATATATATATATATATATATATATATATATATATATATATATATATATATATATATATATATATATATATATATATTACAATTAAAAAATAAACGTATATAGATACATATCGTTTAAATTTCAACATATTTGAATAGTTTTTTAAAATATTTTTTGTTGCGTTATTTTTAATTAGTCTTTTTATTGATATTGACTAAATGAGGTTAACGGAGGAAAATATATAAACCTCTATTTGCTGCGGTGATGATGTAAAAAATTATATTTTCTGTGACAAAAATTAAAAAAAGTTAAGAATCAAAAAAATAAAGCAAAAAACAACAACAAAAAAGTCATTCTTTTTTTTTTAACTTGCATCAACCCCAGTGCAACAAAAGTACAGCGCATAACTTTAGAGATTACTTCGAATTCTTTTTTTTAAAACTTTTATACCAAGAGCTTTGCAGAGTGTTTCAGTTATATTATCTATTTAATTAAAAGGTTTTTTAAGCACATCCCTTATGAATATGCTGAACACGCAATAATTGAAATTCCTTGTGAATATAACTGAAAACGCAATAATTGAAATAGTAGACCTAATTACTAAAGGATTCGAAAACAATAACTTTACTCTAGGATTATTTATTGACCTATCAAAAGCATTTGATGCGGTTGATCACTTCATTATTTTAGAAAAAATTAACAATACGATTGGTTAAAAAGCTACACTGAAAGAAAACAATATGTTATTAATAAGAAATCAGGTGAACTAAAAATTATGTGTGGAGTTCCACAAGGGTCAATTATTGGTCCCTTGCTGTTCTTGATCTATGTAAACGATTTGCATAATGCTTCAGCAAAACTTAACGCGAAAGTGTTTGCTGACGACACAAATCTTTTCTTATCAAACAGTGACATTAGGCAACTTTACTCAGAAATGAATTATGAATTAAGGAATGTCAATGAATGGTTTAAGGCTAATAAACTGTCACTTAATGTAGATAAAACAAAGTATACTCTATTCCATAAAAAACCACAACAGGAACCCCTTCCCATAAAATTACCTGATTTAATTTTAAATTATAAACTAATTGGAAAAAATGAAACAATATAATTCTTAGGAATTCTTATTGATGAAAATTTATCATGGCTTCCTCACATAAATTATATCCAATCAAAAATTAGTAAAACAATTGGTTTGATGTACCGTATTCGCCCATATGTAACATCAGGAAGTCTGAAACTAGTATATTTTAGCCTAATACATTGTTTTATTTACTATTCTAATATTACATGGGCTAGTACTCAACCAACAAAACTTAAAAAAATATTTTCTCTACAAAAACACACATGCAGACTAATATATAAGTAAAAAAAAAATGAATTAGCAAAACCACTAATGAAAGACATGCAAATGATGAATATATATGAAATTAATATTTACCAACACTTAATTTTTGTGTATAAATATAATAACAGCCTGATTCCGAAAACCTTTAATAATAAATTTACAAAATGTTAACAATAATTACTCTCTTAGAATAAACCAAAGGAATATTTATAAATTGCCTAGAATTAGGCAATTTATAAGTATTCCTTTGTATAGGAAATTTATAAGTATTCCTTTGTATAGGCAAATTATAAGTATAACTTATAAATTGCCTAAAATAAGTCGAGGTCGTAGCGGCAAAGAAGACAATTTTTCAAGGCCTACAACAGCGAGTTGACCTTCAATGAAGCAGTGTGCCGGGCCATTAGAGTGTTAACAAAATAATCACATTCTTTAATAAAGATAGCATGATCTGGTTCATTTGTTATGGTCAGATTAAGTGTGCTAGTGGCCTCAACGTGTCGACTACTACGGTACGTTGGGAATGCGACAAGCTGAATTATGTGACATTCATCAAAGCACTTTTGGAACCTGATATCGCCTTGATATTCATCTCTTACTTCCAACTAAACAAGTATTTTAATGCCATCGTTAACTTTGATAGACTCATAAGATGTATGGCTAAAATTGAAATTTCCATATAATAGCATTGTCAAGCAGATTATGTTAGGCAGTATCTGACGAGCGGCAGTGATCTGTTGTGATCGATGTAATGCACTGAGTAAGAACTTGATTATTAAGGTCGTGAGGACGATATAAACAGCCGAGGTGAAACAATTCTTCACCGATTTTTTGCTTTTCATTAAATTTGCTCAACTGACATTGAGTTGAGCTGAGTATAATTAACTTCGTTGACTATGATATAATCTCTTGTGTAAATGGGTAATCCGCTGCCCCTATTGACTTCGTTGACTATGATATAATCTCTTGTGTAAATGGTAAATCCGCTGCCCCTATTGACTCTGTCTTAGCGATGTGGTTGGTAGCCGGGTATGACAACTTCATAAAAATCTGTAAACCAAGTTTCCTCAAAAAAGATGACAGGTGGCGCATAACTTTAGAGATTATTTCGAATTACTTTTTATACTTACATATTTTTTTTATACTTATTATATTTGCGAGCGTTTAATCTGGAAAATCACACCTTCTTCTTTACCGTGACACAAAAATATGTCCAAAGCTCGTTTTGAACCTTTATATATATTAACCAAATTTACTCCCAACAAGACTCTTCAGTCTTGTTGGGAGTAAATTTGGTTAATAAAAAAGCAACCTACAAGACTGCAACAATAGATAATATACATACTACAGATATATATATATATATATATATATATATATATATATATATATATATCTATATATATATATATATATATATATATATATATATATATATATATATATATATATATATATATATATATATATATATATATATATATATATATATATATATATATATATATATATATATATATATATATATATATATATATATATATATATATATATATATATATATATATATATATATATATATATATACATGTATGTTATACCACTATTAATTTGGGAACTGGAAAACAAATAATTAAAGAGTTAAAGAGCAAGGACAAAAAGTCAGAAAAGCATAAAAAGTCAGAAAAGCATAAAAAGTCAGAAAAGCATAAAAAGTCAGAAAAGCATAAAAAGTCAGAAAAGCATAAAAAGTCAGAAAAGCATAAAAAGTCAGAAAAGCATAAAAAGTCAGAAAAGCATAAAAAGTCAGAAAAGCATAAAAAGTCAGAAAAGCATAAAAAGTCAAAAAAGCATAAAAAGTCAGAAAAGCATAAAAAGTCAGAAAAGCATAAAAAGTCAGAAAAGCATAAAAAATGGGAGTTTTAAAGGATTTAAAGAGAGAATGAGATTTGGTTGATGGAATTAGAGATGATAGCATCCTTTGAGCAACGATATTTAAAACAAAAACAAAAAAATGCGACCTTACAACAATGAGAAAGTTGCTCAAACTTGGCAAATATAGCAGGTCAAACTTCGATTACAAATCATTTTTGGACCTTGTCTAGAAGAGAAAGGGCGTCATTAAAAAAAATAGCCCAAATTATTTAGTCATTTATTGTTGATTTTAAATAATTTTTTATAA